AAATTGACAGACATATTTAAGTAATTTTGAATTATTTATATTTTCTTAGAGAGTAATTTAGAAATTTTATTTTTACAATTCTATTATTGTAATTGTTTTCTATTTTAAAAATGTGGTTCCATCACTATACAGGAATTAACATCTTTCAAAACAAAACCTAAAAACTTTTTATCATTGAAAAACTCAGACGACACGCAAAAAACGGATGTCATTTGTGAGCAGGCATCCCTATCCCACTTAACCTGATTTTGAAAGTAACTTATATTTGATATATATGTTGTCTAGGAAATTAAAACCCAACCACCCCTTATCAAAATGATTGAATTTTCTGTAACCTTAATAATTTAAAATATTGTCTATTCTTATAAATGAAGTAAATTTCTTAACAGAGTATTCCAAAAATTCCTTGAGAATGGAATGGATTTTAAATTGAATTTTATAATTAAATTTAAAATTTCTGTTTTGAAACAGTAATTTCTGTGTAGTGATGGAACCATATTTTTAAAATACAAAATAATTATAATATTATGATCTACTGTTTTGTATAGAGTACGGTTTTTTTAAAAATAATTACTAAGAAAACTAGATTGTAAATCTTACTGTTCTTTCTTATTATTTTAATATATATATATATATATATATATATATAAAATTCTATTGTCACATAAAATAATTATGCTTTTTAAATCATTGAAAGTAAAAATATCCAAAGAAAGCTAACAGAAAGCAAGAGCCTGGTCTTCCCTATTTACTAACGAGATATTCATTTAGACACACACAGATTAATGCTTCTTGTAAGCTCAGAATATTTTGTTACTAAAAAGGTAAAATCAGGTTTTGTGACCAAGAAATACATAAACTCTAGTTTCAATTTCTAAAATAGACATAAAGGGCGAGGAAAAACAAACAACTTCATCTCTAAAACTTTTTTTTTTTTTTTGAGTAATTAAATGGTTTCAAGTTTCTTTAATTAAAATAGTAATTTCTGGCATGAGTTATTTACATTATTTATCCTTGGACTATTGTCCTCATCTTTCTTGATGTTAGCACAGCATTTTGGGTTTTGTATCCTCCAGTTTCCATTAAGTCCTTGTCAACCTGGTTAATATTTTTTTTTTTTTTCTACTATTGCTCAGTGCGAACAATAACTCAGCAGTACTAAAATAAGAAACTAGAGAAGATATCCCTAAACACGCAAGTAGAATGAGAACAATTTACTTTCATAGATTATATAAGGATTCATTTTTAAATTTCCTGAAGATTACCCACATCAGCAAGCATTGGATAAAGGTCAGAGGGAGCAATAAAAGCAAAGATGAGGATAATAGTCCATATGTAAATAATGTAAAGCAGAATGGTTATCCTTTCATTTACAGTTGTTAAACTTTGGATCAAAATGATAATCACCAAAATTGGTTTAAATTTATATCTTGTTAAAGCCAAAAATACCCCAAATCTGCTGTGTATTCCCAGAAAACAATTTCTATTATTCTATGAATGTTATGGATATTTAAAAACTTTAATATTTCGAGTCAACTGTGTTTCAGTGCACTGATGCATTACCCTCATGATAGGTAGCAATATTTAACTGACATATTGCAAATCATTATCTATTTACTGTTGAACTTCACTATTTTAACACTAGATGGCACTTGGTCGATAGACAAGATTTCAATTCTAGATTGTTTTGGAAACAAGTCAAACGTTCTCAGTTTGTCATAATAATTGCAGATTTTTCATGACATCATTGAAAAGTGAATCCACTGAATAGTGGAATGATCAAACTCTAAAAGCTAAAGTAATGTTTTGTGTTTTGTTGCATTATAACACTTCAGACGGAAACTGCAGCTGGGACAGGTCAAACTATAGAAGATAGATGTAGATTTTGTAGGTTTTTGTTTCATACACATATTGCAATTGCACCTGAATGCTTAAAATATGTCTAAAAAGATAAATGTGTATATAAAGATGTTTTGACTTGTTCCAATATGGGTTGACTCATGTCACGGCTTATGTTTATGGCTCCCTTCAAAGTTGATAGTGGCCCAAAGAGGTTTTATTGCCTATGATGAGAATCACTGATATAAATTAAAAGTTTAAGTATTTTTTTCTTTAGCTTATAATCCTAGTCTTTGTACAGCTGATCTACATTACTAACTTGACTAAATGTAAATGTTGAATATTTCCCAACACAGGACACTAGGAAAAAAAAGAAAAAAAAAAAAAAGACTCCTCCTTATACATCAAGGGCAGTGTGATTTGAAAATTTTAGGAGCCATTTTGCTTGTGTTTGTTTTACCAAGTCCTTTCAGGGTGCAAAGAATTACGACTCCACAAATTCTGTTTCTTTATCTGTGAATTACCATCTCTTGAGAAAGACAATGGAGTGATTTCTTGTTGCCTTCTCCATGATTTGGAATTAAGAGTTTTTCCTTCTATTAGACTGGTAGCCACCCAAGGCAGGAAAGTTCAGTCTGCTCTGCTATTTAACTCCTAGTTGGATTTTAGCACAAGGAGCTGGATTCATGCCTTTTCCTAAGGGCATCAGTATGAAAGTGAATGCAATAGACAGAGCTAGAATTTGAACTTGGCTTGCCAATTCTGCTACTTGGATCAGTAATTGTTACACTATTTGCACATCTCCATTGTGTTAAATTTATTTTTTGCTTGATGGCCAAATAAGAAACAGAAAATATCAATTAACTGAGAATAATTAAGTTGATGTTAATTTCTAATTATACTTATTAGATGTCAGTATTTTCATTCATGCAATTAGTTCATTGAAATCTATTTATTATAAAAAATTTTCTTAAAAAAAAAATAAGAAAAAAAATGAAAAAAATTATATATTTGAAAAAAAAAAAAAAAAAAAAATTATTCAGTTACCTGACCAAAAAAGTTAATGAAATTGATTTTTAATTAGAAAAAAAAAATGAATGCAATTTTAACTACATGAAAACCTGTTTTCTTATTTGCTTTAACACTCATTAACCCCTTTGTGTTTTTGTATTTTTATTGCCTTGTTTGGGGTGATATAGTTAAAAATAAAATTTTAAAAGAAAATAGAAAATTTTTAATAATGAAATTTAATTTTTCTTTGAAAAATTACTTTAAAATCACATTTACTTTTTTTAAACAAGCTTTTTAGTTATTAAGATCTTGACCCTAAATTTTTATTTTTAAATCAAAAGCAGTTAAATCTTTGTCAAATTCATGCCATTAAAAGACTTTTAATTAACTCTTAAAATTTCTAGCATGATTCATATCAATAACCTTTATGAACTAATATGTTGGATTCAATAATTTTCAGATTAAAAAAATTGTCAATTTTTAACTAAATGTTTATTAGCCCTCTGCATTATTAATATTACTTCCCTTCCCACTACATTCTTTTTCAAGGCCTCTCAATTGCAGAATCCTTATTGTTAATTTCACTCAAAGGTGTTTTCTGTTGCCATAGCAGGATATAACACAACTATGAAATTCAAACATACTAGTGTTCAGGGATCAGAGTCACTTTCAGTGGCAGGATAAACTTTTTGTACACAGAGTGGATAAAGGTTAAGATATTTTGATAAACCTTATGTGTCCTAAATAGGGAAGAGATTTTACAGTTTAATAATCTTATAAACTACAAAAAAAAACATGTCTATATTTCTGAGATGGGGTATTGTAACTATTAACACTATTTATGTCATTCAGACTGTTGTCCTCATCTTTATTGCCATAGTCACCAACACTTATCCACTAACACAGATTTTATTATTTTTAAAATCTTAAATTCTATTATGGTTACACTTGCTCACCAAGAGTGGTACTGAGCATGTCTTGTGTCAGTTACCATAACATTTGATTTTCTCATTACTTTATAGTGAAACCAGGCTGTGATGAGTAAGACTATTGTTATGGACAGAGAAACAAAGAAAAATTCATTATAGATGGATTCTGGCCACTGTAGGCTTATGGCCATATGTTGAAACATTGGTTCTCGAATGATTACCAGTTAAGCAAGGTTGAGTCTGGGAAGTACCTATGTGGGGGTGGTGTAATGGAGTAAGCAAGATGAACTTGCTAACCATTACACCACGCCGGAGTGCCCCAGGTATCCTCTTGTAATGATTTTCCAAGCGTAGCTCAGATGTGACACAAGGCCGAAAGTAAGAGGCACCTAGTGAGGATCGAACTCACTACTCAGTCATAATAGTTCTAGCGAGACAAGCTTGCTAACCATTACACCACCTCGAGGTGCCCAAGGTATCCCCTTGTAAAGGCAAGCCAGCTAATCTACCTCATTTATAGGAGATTTCCTTATGCAGCAGGTGGGTTAGTCCACTTTGCTGGAGTGGACCTGCCCAACATGTTTGTATTATTGGATTATTCAGCCATATATATCTCCATTAAATCACTCAAGGTTGCTTTTCAACTGAAGTAACTACACCAGTGTACCTGCGTGTCAGACCACTTGCAAGTTAACCAATATTTGACACACCTCTTCTCCCCTCAGCTATGGGTTAATTAGGATTTGTATCGGTAAATCATTATTATTTTAAAAAACTTCTTACAATCTAAAAAATATTTTCTGGCTTTCAATAATCTAAAGGTTGATAAACCGTAAAAAACAACTCAATCTAGCCACTGTATCCTCTGGCCTCTCTTGGATAGCTGATATATTCAGGATATTTCTGGTGTTCTAAGATAGACACCAAATATGATAGATCAAATTTTTTGTTTGACATCCTCAGATTTTACCAAATATGATAGACACCTTTGAAAAAGAAAAAGAAGAAAAAAGAGGGTACTGTGTTTAAAACACTAATAAAAAGGACCATGGTTTGAAAGAATCAATGTATAATAGTCAAAATTTCAGGAAATGTTTTAAAAATTAGTCTACCTTCCTTAAGTTGATATATTTATTTTTACCTACTGCTTGTTTAGAACCTCCCTACTTTTGTTTCCCTGGTTACCTGTTTGGCAGGTCTGGGGCCAAATGACTAACTTACACTCTCTAGATATTGGCTGCGTAGGGTCTACAGGAATCATCATGGGCTTTGGACGGATGATACTCCTCGGATATCTCTCATCTGAGGCTGGTGACAGGTAACTGGAATCTCCTGTGCAATGACAACAGAAAGTTGACGTGAAGTACTGCATACACAGCTAGAGGGACAACTGAGGAAGGGAACGGGCAACACATATATGAGAATAAAAAAAATAAAATAAATGTGATAAATGAAGATAAAACTTTTGTCTTTGATGGCATATAGGACTTCTGGACGAAAAAAAAATAAATTAAGTTCTCATTTTAACAGAGAAAATTAAGGACGTATTCTTAGTTTATAGTTGTCAAGTCTTTTTACAATTTAAAAAATTATTACAAGAGCAAATATGGAAATTGTTACAAAATGAGGAGTAAATATTGAAGTTTTAACTCCTTTAATACATATGGGCGCCATTAATTACACAAAACCCATACCAAACGGTACTTGAGTTTTTACCGTGTTCACTGTAGCAGAGCCTTATCAATGGTGGTAATGTCATCAGTGATTTTTTTGTTTTAGATCAGTGATGTCATGTATCTTTATTTGATACATGATATCTTTAACATAACCTTATCGAAAGAAGTCCAGGGAAGAGTGAACAAGGTGGCCAGTTAATTGGGCCATCCCTTCCAATCCACTGGTCTTGAAATGTTTGATTTAAGAATCCACAAACATGCAGAATCTAATGGGGTTGTGCACTACCTTGCTAGAAAATGGTTTGTTGAAGGCCATCTAGTTGTGGCGCCACATCAATTACCTCTGTAATATATTTTTTCAATTGTAAAGAGACTTTATAGACATCCTGTATATTTGCTTAACAAAGGGCCTTATCAAGACCAGTGTATACTAACCTGGTATGGGGAGCCAGTTTGGGGGACCCAGGCAGTGTTTTGTGACCCTTTCTATCTTAACATTTGCTTTTTTTTCTACCTACATTTACATGTTACAAATTAAATTAAGCACGACTGACTATTAAAGAATGAAGAATTTTCATGGATTTTGAAGTCATTCAGGGGTCTTCTTTTTTTTTTCTTTTCATTCAAATCCATGAATTTGTTTTGCGTAAACTAAGTCTTGAAAAAACACTTCTATAAAATTTACTATTTTTTTAACCATAATGCTAAATTTCAACAAGAAAAATCTCAAGTTGATGTTATAAATTGTCGCAAAACATTGATTTATTTTGAGATGGAATAATTTATTATGACATATAATTTGTACTTAGATACATTGTATTTCAGCCTGGAGAGTTTTGGGCTCAGTCAGGTCATCTTGTCCAAGAAACACCACTTCTACTGCAACTGCAGTACATATGGTACCCCTATGACCGTAATGGGTCACAGGATTTGTGTGTGACATTGTATTTATTTTCAATTTTTCTAGTTGAATTGATCACCTGTATTGAACTATTGTACATAATTGTTAAAATAAAATTAGTATTTTATATGAATACCTCACAAAAACTGAGATGTAGTCAAGTGGGGGGTGGGCTCACATATAGATTTAGGGGAGGAGACATGAGACCCTTGCACCGATTTTGGACGTTATCTACTTTGGAAAAGTTGATTCCCCCCCCTTTCTTTCAACCATTTTGTTTGGAAAACTTGGAGGACATCTTATATGCCATCAAAATTGATACTTCTTGTGTTTCTGATACATGCACATTTTGTGGAGCAGATTTGCTTAATTTGAAACCATTATTCCAAAATACACTTATTTTATGCAAAAGATTAGTTCAGAATTTGGGGATAAGATCCTGAATGTTTCATTAAGTTAAAGAGGTTTTGAAGACAGTAGACTGAAGGACAGTGATCAGTGTCATCAAGCTCTGAAGCAGAGATGCCATCAAAATCCTGCTTTAACAAATTTCTTCTGTCAGTGTGGCTTTGTCGCATGCAGCAAGGTTGGGCTAGTATCACACTTAAGAAAGTACAAATGAAATATCTTTCCCATACCTCATTTTCTCTACCATAGCCCCTGCTAACATGCATTAGTGTAAAACAAAAGGCACCATCCAATGCTGACCCTCATTTATTGTCCACTATATAAGTGAACATTGAAGTCAACACTCAGAGGTGACAGGCTGTTTTTCTTAATACTTTGCTTATCTTTTGGAAGGCATCTTTCACTATCCAAATGGATTTTGATGTTGTACTTTCAGTCTTCAGTTAAAGCACTTCCCAGATATTTAAATTGATGTACTTTATTTTGATATCCCCAATTTGTAATTTGCATGTTGAGCTGTCCCTTTTGCTAACAACAATACATTCTATCTTTTTGCAATTGATGTTTATGCCTTTCTTCTTTCATAGGAGTTCCTGTATTATTTAATCCTGGTAGGATTTCTAAAATATATAGCTTTTGGAAGCAAGACAAAAAATGCTCCCCCCTAAAATACATAAGTAAAATGTCCAGAAATTTAAAAAAAAAAGAAAAATGGTTTAAAATTTACCAGCACTCAGAGCACTTGTATTGCTACTGGGACAGTCAAGATCAATTTTAAATGATCGGGAAAATACTGTTTTAATAAAAAGTGAATATAATTCACTCAGATGAAGATACATTGAAAGTGCTATGACGTACGTGTCCCATATGATTAATATATTTTAGTTTATTACCTCTCCATACTGAAACAATGTTGAGATACGGAAACCTTAAAGCTAAAAACTGGATTGAAATAAGTTGTAATCTAAGTTCAGTAATATAGGTGAAGTAAAAATCAAGTGTTCAACTGATTAACATGGATCCCATCATCTCGCTCATGTAGATTTTGTTGGAATAAAATTATTTTTCTAAAGACACCAGTTCAATGGTGAAACATGTCAAAAGATAGAAGTTTTCCAAATTGTTTTATATAATAATGAAAATTATATAATTTATATAATAATGAAAATCATATAATAATGAAAATTATGTCAAAATGAGAGAAATTTATGTATTTTATGTCATTTTAAAAACATAACTTGCAAATCTGATCCACATTGTTCTTTTAGGGTATTAATAAAACAAAAACAGGAGAGACTGGGACAACACTTAAATGTGAACAAGGAAGGGTGTTTGGCGGGGGTGGAAGATAGGTAAATAAACAAAACAATGGAGGGAGAAGAGCAGGAAGTGCAATCAGATAGATGCAAAAAAAAAAAAAAATTGTCAAAGGGGACAAAAATAAAAAACCCCAAAAAACAAAAAAACAAACACTTTAAATGAATAAAATTATCATTCAATACTAGACAAAAAAAATAAATGATATTTTACAATGACAATACCTTTTTTTTTTTTTTTTCACAAAATTTATAAATTTCAACAAAAGAATTGCTTTTGACCACAGACCAACACCCACATTTTTGAAAAAGGAATTTCTATGACATGCAATCAAAATTTGAGAATCTAAATGAAGAATGGTATAAGTTCAGGGGCGACAAACTATAGCTTACCAGCCAAGAGATAGAACGTTAATAATAAATCAAATTTGTTCATTTATAATAATTGCCTCTACTCTAATTTTCATGGAATTTTGCCCACTCCTGTTTCATGGGTAGAAACTTTACCAGACATTGATTGGTGATGGTGAGATTAAATCTTTCAATATACAGAAAACATCTAGCATTCATTGCCTGAACAGTTAGGTGTTACTGTCAATTTAAATTTATAAAATCTTATAAAGAAAGTTAATCTTCAAGTCCACTTCTTTCTCGTACCAATGAAAGTTTCCTTCTAAATCTTTTGTTTTGGGTTGTGTGGAAAGTTAACAGCTTGATTACATCATTATACATGTACTATCCATTTTTTTTATTGCTGGAAGTCTTCTAGTGATGTGGTTTTTGTTATAGCTCTTTGTGATTTTTGTAGTACCAATCTCGTTAATCAAACAATTAGTCTCTCAGAGGTAATAAATGGTTGAAATTAAAAAAGAAAAAAGATGAAGATGTTGGTCTGGGAAGAGTTCAAATTAATTTATTAAGAGTTTTGCTTTGAAAATAGCAACAAATCTTCAGTACTATGACCTTGTGATGGGCAGTTATAATTCAAGATCATTAAAAAAAAAAAAACAAACAAAAAACAAAACATGCAACAATAAAAAAAAATGGAATGTGGGAAGGAAGGAATAATAATTATAAAAACATGCAGTGAATATGTGTATCCTTATTTTACCACCAATAATGAAAACATTAGGGTTAGTGGTTCTCAGCCATTCCCTTCCCATTTCACCATATTTCATAATGTCATTTCTCCCACTTTCAAGATAGTCTTAAAAAAAAATCTGCCATAGATTTAGAGATTCTTGATAAAATCTCTATAAAACCCCCAAAAAGAATCAGCAATGTTACTGGTCCTGAACTTACATCTCATCTTCAGTCATTTTCTTACTATCATAAGGTAGCTTCCCTGTGCCTTTTCTATAAATACTTTTATGGTAATTGTTCTAATGAATTTTCCTCTATGGTATCTAAACCTTATGAATTTAGTACTAGATTGATGGCAAGGTCCTATCATTTTAAAGTTGAAATGGCTATAGTAATTGTAAATTCTATGCTAACAGTTTATTCTTTTGCACTTCTTGCTTGTGGAACTTTCTTTCTGCTTCTTGCTTCCCAGTCAACTTTGATCTTCAAAAACTGAAATGTAATGTTATCTTCTGTCTTAATTCTTGTTCTTTTATTGTCTCTCTTTAATAGTGTATTTTTTCTCATATTCCTTAACACTTAGTAACCCTTCATGTTTTAGTGCTTGTTTGGGATGAAATGATTAAAAAAAAATTAAAATGTCAAGGTGAGAAGAATTTTGGCAATAAAGCCACTAAGATGCAAACAGTGACGGTGAAAGAATATGAGCAAAAGAAAATATTAAGAAGAGAGAACAATAAAAGAACAAGAATTAAGACAAGATAACAATTGACATTGCATTTCAAGTTTTGAAGATCAAAGTTGATTGGAAAACAAGCTGAAAGATTTCCACAAGTAAGAAAAGAAACTTATCATAGAATTTACATCTTGCCATTTCAACAGTAAAATGATGAGACCATGCTGCTAATCAAGTATGGCACTTAAATTTGTAAAGTTAAGGTACCAAAAAGTAAAGCTCATCAGAACAATAGATAACTAAACTAATAATTATTATCAGTAAGTAAAATTTCCCCAATACTTATCCAAGAATATAAATATTTATTATAAATTATATTTTAGAATGGAGTTTTTTTTATTAATCTGACAGATTTTTATCAGTTTAAGATTTATTTTTGGTGGATACTTGTATTTGAGTAGACGTTCTGTTTTTTTTAAGCAGTATGCATATTTATTTTTGCCATCTATCGGCTTGAATGTTTAAATATGAGTAGACACTAAGAATAACATATATATATATATAAGAAATTTGATAAGTTCTTGAAATAAAATCATTAATAAGTTTTGAAACCTCAAATTTGAATAAACTAAGAATTTCTGTGAATCGACTAATACGTTATTTAAAAGAAAACAAACTCAAGATACTGGAGAATAATGTTTTGAATACTGAACAAATTAAATGAAACCATAAAGAATTCTCTGTAAAAAAAAAATGTCAGTTGCAAGAAAAGAAAAGTTGTTTCGTAATTCATTGAATCAGTTTCTACAAAAACATAGACATTGATTTTTGTTTTAAGTTAAAACTATTTTCTTTTTCTAATTCACAACAATGTGTGATTGTGTTCTTTAAGGCAGTAATTTTTAGATGGGAGGCACTTGGCTCCCAGGTGAGCAATTTAAAAATCTAGGAAATTTACCCAGTAGATGAAAGTTGTTTCTGTAAGTCCAATGATAGAAAAATGACTACATGAAAAATGGGGAGAAATTGAGAAAAGCTGAGACAGAAAACTGAGAACCACTGTTCCAAGGTAACTCCAGTGCTAAGAAGAATAAGACCCCCCCCCCCTTCAATCCAAATATTATGGATGCAGTTTATTGGGGGGGGGCATATAATGTGGAGCTTTGTTTATACAAAATCAAGAGCAATGTAAATTATAAGGTTGACATCCTCTTGATAAGTAAAATATATATACTAAGTTTCTATTTTTGGTGAAGCACTTGGCTACTGAAAGCCACCTTCACTTAATCTTTTAAAGTTCATGATTCTTCACCTAATAAATAGGTCTACAAGTAGAAAAAAAAAGAAAAAGATACCTATCTTTTTATTCCAATGTATATAACAAAAATATTGAAGAGAGAGAGCAAGACCTGTAAAATGGGACATTAACATTTCTGAGGCGGATTGGGACCAAAGAAGCCAGCTGGTAGCAAAAAATATGGACTTAATAAGAAAAGTAAATATAAAAAAAGAAAAAGAAAAGAAGTCTAACTACCTACCTACAAACGAATTTCTACGCTTTTCAATATCCATGCCTGGTGGCATTTCTTCACCTTTGGAGCATTCTGGATTCCTCTGAGCAGGTGGTGGTGGGGCGGAGGGGTCTCGTGTATCAGATTTGTCTAAATTCTTCATTTCCACGTGGTCATGGTGGATCCACAAATCTGGCGGCTTCACATCTTTGGGCGTCGGTGCCTTGGTTGTTTTACCCTTGGCAGGAGACATGTAGTTGCCAGAGCTAAACAGAATAGAAAAGAATCAGGTTATTGTACTTAAAAACATTAATTCTAAGTGGGGTTTTTTTTTGGACAAGATAATTAAAATTCTCTTTGTGATGTCATTGTTGCAATATATCAGCTGATCCTTTTCATGGCTTACTTCAGGAAAGAGCAGGTTATTTTTTTTTTTCTTTCTCTCCAATGGTAGAAAGCAAAAAATATCATAAACAGGAAATTCAAATGTTAACATTCAACATTTGTTATGTAAGTGAGGCTGGGTTCTTTAGTCTTGGCTGTTATCCAGTCTAGAAAGACTATTCTGAATTAAATAAACTGCAGTTGACAGCAACAGGAAACCACACTATTTACATTATTCGGACTATTGTCCTCATCTTTGTTGCCATATTTATTACGTTTTGGTCGTTGTACACTCCAGCCTTCTTCAGGTGGTTGGAATGTCGAACTGAACCCTTTATTGGAGTGTACAATGGCTGAAAAGTTGTAATAGATATGATGACAAAGATAAGGACAATAGTCCAAATAATGTAAATAGTGTACATAATACCTCATCTCAGAAATATAGACAGAAACAGGAAACCACTCCACAGTTTTTCTCAAGGCGCCTTGACAATTTACAGGTAATAAAGAAAAGGAATCTATAGTGAATCAAACACCTATGCCATGAAGAAAGAAAGCAGTAGAAAGAATTATTCTATTTGCAGCACCATGTACAGTACAGGTGATTTTTTGCATTCATTATCCAGTAAACTTCTGCAGAAAAAAAAATATTTTAAAGAGATTAAATTAACATAATAAAATGATTAAAATTATATATCATAAATCAACATTACCAATGATAATGAGTTATTAAATTTGAAAAAAGGTTGGTGCTACTATAGTATGATATTTACCGAGGGATTTGCGACCCACCATAAGTGACGATGCACTCATTACTGCTGGAAAATGCTCAGGAAAAATGATGACCTCTTTAGTGTTTTTTTTTTAAAAATGGCATCAAATCAATTTACAAACATTAAAATTACTATTTGATAATTTAAAAAAAAATTTTTTTTGGTATAAAAATTTGATTTTTAATACATAACCAGTTCACTGCCTTTACCCCCACCCCTTCATACTTTCAACAGTTAGTAATTATCATACCATAGTAGAAAATGAATGGTAGATATCATACTATAGTAGCATCAAAAAGTCATAACAAGGGGATGTTCCATAATGTGTTTTCTTTTACCTTCATATCTTAAAAAAATACTTTTCATGAAATAGAACAAGCTTACAATTTACTTAGACTGTTTGTTTTTTTGGGTTGCTTTAGTATAAAATTATAAAAAATTACGTAATAAAAATATGCACCATTAAAAAAAAAAAAAAAAAGCAGCAAAAATGAATAAAAGAAATTAAGCCAAGTTTAACCTTTGTACCTGCAAAAAAAAAAAAAAGAAAAAAAAAAATGTGAAAAGGTTGGTTTTTGTCTTGACACTGCTATTACTGTATTCTTCCTTGACAAGGTCTATTTTTATTTTTTTAATTCACTCTAATCCAGGTGATAATGTCATTAACATTCAAGATGCTACTGTGAGTGAAAAAGAATGAAGAGACTTTAGAAGGGACAGGAAATCCAATCTTAAACAGGTGACAAGGGAAAAAGTTTTACCTCTGTTCAAAACACTGGCGAGGAGTGTGAACTGGACAATAAGAAACTGTTTAGAATTTTAATACCAACAAAAATATTACACACTATTTAGTTACATTATTTAATTATTTACAAGATTATATTTACAATATTATAAAAATATATGAACCAACATATTATAAAGAAATAAATATGAAAGCAAATTTCTTTTTCACATATATATTTCCTATAGGAAAGTGACTCTCATTCTCTTTCATTGCATGTAGTAAACTGCAAGAAAGCTGGAGAATGGATGTGCATTGTAACAAAAAGACCAACACAAACAGTGAATGTCTCTTGGAATGATAATGATACTTCAAAATTGTCAAAACGGTACCTTCCATATAGATTGAAGAAGACTGTAGAATGAATCTGCTGAAACACTGTGGTAACCAAATCGAGCTACACAAAGAATGTGTTCAATAGTCCAAACAAAATGTTTAACTCTTTGTAAAAATTATAAACAGAGTAAGCTTATATGTGTAGATAAGCTTATGTAGATAGTTTTTTTTTTTAAACATAACAAAATATATGTTAAGATGAAAAACAAAATTTCTTTTTCTCTTCATCTGTTTTTTTTAAGCTATCATTGAAAAATACATCACATTTTATTTATAAATATATATATCTCACACCATGTGTGTGATATATAAGTTCTCTTCTAAATTCTACAAAAATTAAAATAACATTGACGTCTCATTTTAACAGATATTTACCAAAATTACACAAAAATATCTTGAAATACTAAAGAGTAAATTTATTCAATAAAATTATTTGCTTCAACCATGGCCCCCGGACGACTTCAGAATCTTTTGCAACTTTTCTGGATAGTCTCCTTGTTTTAGTTAATGAATGATGCTATAATCCTTGTTTTGGTGTTACAAGGAGTTTTGTTGGGCTCTTGCTCAACTGCGCCCAACACATAATAATCAAGGGTGTTGCAGTCCGGTGGCCAGATCTAAGGGGTGATGTAGTCACAGAAATTTTCTGACAGCCATGAGTGGGTTCTCTTGCTTGTGTTGCATGATGCAGAGTCCTGTTGCTAGACATAGGGTCTTCCAGCAGCCACCCTCTTGATCCAGGGCAGCACTCCTCTTCAAGGCACTTATGTTGGCAGACATTCTTCTTGTTTGAGAATACCCAAAATTGGTCTGGTTGGAAGGGATGCTAAAGTTTATTCAAAAGCTTTGTAGTGTAGTCTTTCCTTTTGTCCTTCATGGCTTGGGATAAAAATTGGCCCTTTCTAATCTTGTGTGAGAAATACCGAATGTCTTCATGCACTACCTGCCTGACAAGAAACTCAGACACATCTGTGCCCCTGGTTATGGACCTGATTGACTTGGAGGGATCATTGTCAATCATGGCCTGGATTACACCAATAAATTCAGAAGTTCTTTTCTTATCAGAAAGATCAGAGTGAGTTTTCCAAGTTGCTGTACCTTCGTAATCACCATTAGACTCATTCAACTCTTTGAATCTTCTGTACTGTCCTCAGATCGTCACCTAAACACTCTTGAAATGTTTGTATTAGAGCTTCTGGTGTGAATGCCAAGCAGTACAGCATGCCATTTCCAAATTGGAGTGAATTGCGTCATGGTACTTTTTTTCTCCGCAGACGGTGCCCAACTGACCCTACTATACTGTGCAGCTGACAAAAATCAAAAAATGTACCATGTGCAAAATTAAAAATATAATATGGCAACAATTTACCTATCACACCATATATATTTAGGCAACACATCTTCATTCATACATGATTCATTGAATAATAGAGACATTATGTTTATTTTTATGATTCTATCCAGTTCTCTAATCAGATTCTTGATGTCAATATGAAATTCATCAAGGAAGGCACCATAGGGGTAAATTACGAAGACAAACTTATTGTATCTGCATTTTGCTGTGATGGTGATTTTTAAAAAAACATACGTAATCACACTGTTATAATTATGTAAAAATTTTAAATATATCTGTTGTAGCTATGGAATTTTTTGCAAAACAATCACCCTAATATAAAGGAGCTGACCAGAAATTGGAAGCATGAAAAATGGCATTAAATGTTTGTTATGCACTTCTACATGTTGCTGCTACACTCATGATAAATTTTGTTGAGTGTTGGTTGGTTGCTTTTGATATAGAGGACCTTGAGAATTTGAAGTTTTTATTTATTATTTTTGTGGTATAATATATTGTTACAAAGTATTTTCCTGTATTGCGAAAGGTTTCCTGTCTAAGTGTGTTTTTAGATGTTGCACAATAGAATTTGTATCCGACAAATGAAGTATAAAATGTCTTGATAATGTCGTCGTCAAATCAACTTATATACTTACTTCTTTATCAGATACAATTTTATATATATAAAATAAAAACCTCAGTTAAAAAAGGAAAAAAAAAACAAAGCATTTACATTGGTTATATTTTCAGCAAGACTTATTTATGAAATTTATCTAGATAATGTCACATGTAAAAGAATTTTTAAATCATTAGAAGAAAGCACAAAAAAGCAAAAAAAAACAAAAAAACAATATAATGAATATATTAACAGTCTGATCTCCCCTACTTACTAATGAGAGATTCTGTTTTGTTAACACATGACATGTTTACTTACTGGTGCTGAGTCATGCCTCCTGTTATGACAACAAAATAGCCCAGTGTTAAGTAAGGGAGATCAGGCTGCATGGCCAATAGATATATAAAGTCACATATTTTATATTAAAGGAACAGATAACTTAAGTACCTGCGTTTGTTTCTGTATTCCCTCCTCTTACAGATGACAATTGCCACCACAACAACAATTATACAAAATGAGACGCCCACCACACAAGCGATAATAATTATCATCATATTTGTGGGTACGGTTTCTTCCTTTCCACCTTGGTTAACCTTCTTGTTCCCACCTGAAAAAGAAAAAAAAAGATTAAATCAAAGTTTATAAATGTAGTAGGAAAAATAATCTGTTTTTTGGCAAAAATATTTTAGTGTTAAATTTTTAGTCAGTAGGACTAAATATCTATACATCTACTATTTATCCATGCCTAGAATATTGCTGCCACATATGGTCCAATGCTTCTGCTATTTACCTTGAGCTCCTTAATAAAGTCCAAAGAGTCAGCAATATTGTTGGTTCTAATCTGGCAGCTTGGCTTCAGTTACTTTCCCCACAACTGTAAAATTGCCTCTGTCTTTTCTATAAATACTTACATGGTAATTGTTTGGATAAGCTCTTCACTAGGGTACATAGAATTTAATTTAAGCAGAGTACTAGGCTGGCATTAAGATCCCATCAATTTATAGTTGAGCTGGCTACATGTAGCTGTAATTTCTATGCTAACGGTTTCTTTTCTTGCACTTCTCACTTGTGGAACTACATTCCGGCTCCATGCTTTCCAACTTTAATCAGCAAAAATTTAAATGATTACTCTTTTCCCCACTCATTATTAATGTTCCTGTACCTAATTCTTCCACACTCTATAACCCCTTGTGTCTTAGTGACTTTAATGCCTTGCATGGGGTGATACTGATTTTAAAAAAAAGCAAAAAAAAACTTGTAGCTAGAGAATACACTTATCATGCCAGGCAAAGCAGATATGTACCTGTTTGGTGTGTAAATCCAACATGGCTGACATTACAAGGAAGCGATGATGTCACGTGTGGTTGTGAAGAGTGGCCATTTGCAATCACCCCACTATGCATATATGTGATGCTACTTTTTTTAAATACATTTTGAAGTGTGATTGTTGGACTTTGTGTTTGATTTCTAGCAGTTTTATGTGTATTGGGATTTTTAACATTGAACCAATATTTTCCTTCTGGATTTTGTGATTTATTTGTTTTGTTTTAAACTTATATTATCTTTATAACAAAACTATAATTAAAGCATATGCTTTATGTAGTAAAAAGAGAGAAAAACAAAAAAGTGACGAGAGGGTTCGCCGGCAAACCAGCTGTTATTCTTTGCCGTCGGTCGCCTCAAAGAAATGAATTGCAAGACTCCTTTTCTCGACCATTACACCGGGCAGTCAGAAAATGGACACCCAAATCAAACGCGCCTACTTCAACCACCTCTTGGTCTGCCAGTCTATTCGCACGTCCGACTGTTTCACGAAGTCCACCGAATGACGTGCCGCTGGTGCCTCGCCTTTTTTATGCCAGTCCGACACTGCTGAAATTTGTATGTGTACTGGTACAATCTTGTTTTGAATGAGACTGACATCTATAAATCGCGTCTTTGACAGTAGCCATGTTTTTTTTTTTGGGGGGATTTGCTCTGCAAGCGAGAGACGTTTGCACACGTTTCGAGCTTCGAGGTAAGTAATCACACTTTAACATTTCTAGACAATTCTTTTTGGATCTTCTGCTTACTTAAGCGCTTGTATGAATACGAGATTTCTAGTGCACTTTTTGAAACCAATTTAGATGAATTTATATACAAGGAAAACTTCCCCAAAATTCAGTTCTGTTATGTTATGTTTTGCCATATTGCCCAGGAGTACTCCATTTGAGGTAAACATTAATACTTTTAACTTATAAGTGAATCTGAAGGCACAATGGCTTGGACTGAGGAATTGAAGAGCTGGGTTTAATTTCCAGTTGAGTTCATTGCATTCACTTACTCATCCTGGATATGATGATAAACTACATCTGGCAGCAAGGCCTCTGATTGGGAGTTTTAGAGGAGTGTGAAACCACCTCTTAATAGCTGTTGTCCCCAGATCCACCCTGACCCAAAATGGTAGCACCAGTTAGGGTCCCAGGTATGGGCAAATAGTGAACCCCCAAATAAAAATCAACAATACATTTTTATAAGAAAATGACAACTCAACACAAAAAAAAAAAAAAAAAAAACATTTTTATAGTAAAATTTCTAACAATACATTTTATCATCTACAAACTATATATCTAAAAAAACATATCTTTACCCTGTAAGGATAAAATTATGTACAAAATATCTGTAGTTGAAATTCCAAAAGCTTACAAGAAAATAAAATTTTGGCATTAAATGACCCATAAGGAGCTGATATGCTGCTAAACAAATTAAATATTCACTTATGTGCAAATGCCCTTGGAAAAGGTATGAACCCATTTCTTCTCCCTCCCCCCAGTTATGGGTAAATAACAGGACAGACTGAATTCAAACTGCAGTACATGTAGTACCCATACGCTCCTCATCGGTCACAGGTTTCCTGATGTGATCATGAAACTTGTTCTTATTTAAATGAAATGGAAGATATAAAGTTTTTTTCTGGTTAAAAATGTCTTTTTTTTTTTTTTTTTTTTTGAAAAGCCTAACAACATTTTGAAGATTATCCAAATAATAAAATCCATAAGTAGTTGCAGGGGAACCATATCCATTGCAGTTGTAACAGCAATAGTCCATCCCTCTTCTGATTGGTTTTGAATTTGTCCATCAATCGACCTAGACTGGTTGTTTTAACAAGGCTAAAGAGCCTAGTCTACACCATTATTTATGATGGTTTAAATTCAGAGTTTTCCTTTTGGCTGCTGCTCAAGTCAAGAGAGCCTGGTCTGCTTCATTATTTCACCCATAGTTGGAGGAAGATGCGTTCATGCTTTTTCCAAGGGCATTAGTGCAAAATGAATGAAACAAAATTGGTCAGAATTTGAGCTTGGCGTGACAACTACACATTACATAAAAAAGGAGTATTGTTGGCATATCTAGGTCTGAAGCTGCTCCAATCTCATTTTCTGGAATTACTTCTTTTCCACTTTGTAACTAGGGCATACCATGCTGTGTCCACCGAGTTGTGTCACCCTCATCTCCTCTGTATTCCAAATATAAGAGAGAAGTTCCATTTAGACATCGCCCACCCATGAACTGCTACTTTGTGAAATAGTAGCCCATGTGGAGGATTCCTCAAACACTCCAATCTTAATGTCTTCAAGGATCAATCATTATTTATCCTCCTTATCCTTATAATACCCACTTCATATCTCATTTTTCATTCATATCACATGCCTTATTCATAACCTACATTGAATGACACTCGAGCCTTGTATTGGGTCATCATCATGACCATGCTTTTTTTGTTGAGGCAAGGTGAGACCTGCCTGACAAAGGATCTCAGTTTATCTCTCCACGTATGCCTGTCAACATACTGAGACTTGTCATAATAATTTGAGGCAAGATTATTTTTTTTTTTTTTTTTTTTTATGAGGCTGGATGCTATTACTGACACCCAACTCAGACATTCACAGTAGTTCAATTACAATGAATGCTTTTATCAAGGCAACATACCTAGGAAGGTTGCTATTCAAGACTTTATATATATATATATATATATATATATATATATATACACACACACATCCACTACTTTGGTATGAAGATTTAAAATGAATTTTTAAAAATGAAAATACTTTCATTTAGCTTTAATTGAAAGCTAACAGATTTAAAATTTACTATTTCCAGTAAGCAAAATAATCTGGTGGATTTCAAACAGAAATTATATTGATCAGAATCAATTTTTTTTTTTTTTTTTTCAGTAAAAAAAAAAAAAAAAAAAATCGATGAAAATGGCCATTTTCGACAAATTTGTAAACAAACTGAGAAAGTTTTAAAAATCTTGAAAAAATATTTCTGAAACATTTGAGGAGAATTAGCAAAGTTAAAGTTAAATTGTATACAAGCATTTCATAACCATGGGGTGTTGCTTTTCTGACGTGTTAATCGATTTCTTGACTGCTGAATGCCCATTGAATGTGCTCATATTAAGTATGGTGAAGCAGATAAAATTTGAGGTTTTTTTTTTTTTTTCCCCAATAAGTGGGGACAACTCTTAAAACATGCAACCTTTTAATGACGTTATAGGTTTGAACATCCATACTTAAAAATTCTGCACATATATCACACATACTCAAGCTCAAATCAAAATTCTTTTAAAAATATTTGGTGTTGTCAGAGTGCCATAAGCTTTACAATATATTATTAGTTAATATAGTTTTACTTAATAACAATATTTCCTAAGAGTTATCACATGGAAGCTGAATTTTTAAAATTAAAAAACTTCATAAATTATTCAATTTAAAATTGTAAAAAAAATGAAAAATCTTGAAAAAAATTGTTTTTCTTTAGACAATAATATATATTATTCATAAAATCAATTAAAAACTTCTTTAATTAAATAATGACTTAGTTTTATTGTTTTTTTTTTTTTTTAATTTTCAATCCAGAACAGATTTTTGGTAAGACAGGGTCTGAATTCACAAAAAAAAAAAAAAAAAAAATTGAATTAAATTCTTCAAAATATTTTGCTTTTAACTAATATTTGCTAAAAATTATCACGTTGAATTTCTGAAAATTTCATAAAACTAAGTAACACATGTTGGTAAAAAAAAAACTTTTTTTTTTTTTTAATTTTTTTTTTTTTTTTTTTTCAAGATTTTCTCATAAAAATTTTTTATAGCTATATGGGTCATGATTTTACTTTTAAAAAAAGCAAGGGTAATGAGAGAATTATGGAACAGTTATTGCATGACCAAGACTGTTCTTTTAAAAAAGTTATTAAAATGAGAGAAAAAACTTGCATTTTCTTTTAATGAAAATTTCAATGTTGATGTTTATTTCTTAAGTAGCAGAGTAACCAAAAAAAAAAAAAGAAAAGAAAAAAAAAAGAAAAAAAAAAAGGTTGACCAGTGGAAAGGATCAGAGTATAGTATCTGTGTACTTGGTGAAAATAATTACATACACAGGTACATTACCTATATTGTGCACAAATATACCTCTAAATGCAAAGAAAAAAAAAAAAAAAAAAAACAGCTAAAAATAATTGAGACCTTTTATAATAAAAAACAAAAAGAAAACTTAACATCAATTACAAACATGGCCATAATGTACTGGATGTATTCAGAAATGAAAAATATATCCATCTCAGCAACT